CAACCATGTCAATAACCAAGCTATAAATCTCTGGCTGCAGTAAGTTAAATATGGTGTGTTTTACTCTCTATTCTTCAATTCCCTAGTCATCTAGCATTAATTCTCAGGATCACACAATAATTAGAAGGAAAACAGACTGCCCAGAGTCTATGGAGACATGATCATAGCCTCAAGTTCTTTCTGGAAATGGGCACAGGATAAATTCTAAACCAACACAAAATAGCCAAGGACAGAGCAGAAGAAATTCACATTTTCTACAAAGAAAGAACTACAATCTGAAAAGCATACCTTTCTTGGGGTGGGAGGATTGGGGGGTTAAGATTGCAAGGCTTACTGTAGACTTGTAGTATAGTTTGAAGTCCGGTAGTGTGATGCCTCCCGCTGTGTTCTTTTTACTTAGCATGGTACTGTACCAAAACAGAGATATAGACCAATGGAACAGAACAGAGGCATTGGAGGCAACATAACATATCTACAACCATACAATCTTTGATAAACCTGACAAAAACAAGCAATAGGGAAAGGATTCCCTGTTTAATAAATGGTGTTGGGAAAACTGGCTAGCCATGTGCAGAAAGCAGAAACTGGAACCCTTCCTGACACCTTACACTAAAATTAACTCCAGAGGGATTAAAGACTTAAACATAAGACCGGGCGCCATAAAAACCCTAGAAGAAAATCTAGGCAAAACCATTCAGGACATAGGAGTAAGCAAGGACTTCATGACCAAAACACCAAAAGCATTGGCAACAAAAGCCAAAATAGACAAATGGGACCTAATCAAACTCCACAGCTTCTGCACGGCAAAATAAACAGTCATTAGAGTGAATCAGCAACCAACAGAATGGGAAAAAATTTTTACAGTTTACCCATCTGACAAAGGGCTGATATCCAGAATTTACAAAGAACTAAAACAGATTTACAAGAAAAAAACAAACAAGCCCATTCAAAAATGGGCAAAGGATATGAACAGACACTTTGCAAAAGAAGACATACATGAGGCCAACAAACATATGAAAAAATGCTCATCATCACTGATCATCAGAGAGATGCAAATCAAAACTACATTGAGATACCATCTCACGCCAGTTAGAATGAAGATCATTAAAAACTCTGGAGACAACAGATGCTGGAGAGGATGTGGAGAAACAGGAACACTTTTACACTGCTGGTGGGAGTGTAAATTAGTTCAACCATTGTGGAAGACAGTGTGGCGATTCCTCAAGGACCTAGAAATAGAAATTCCATTTGACCCAGCAATCCCATTACTGGGTATATATCCAAAGGACTATAAATCATTCTACTATAAGGACACATGCACATGAATGTTCATTGCAGCACTGTTTATAATAGCAAAGACCTGGAACCAACCCAAATGCCCACTGATGATAGACTGGACTGGGAAAATGTAGCACATATACACCATGGAATATTATGCAGCAATCAAAAACGATAAGTTCGTGTACTTTGTAGGGACATGGATGAACCTGGAGAACATCATTCTCAGCAAACTGACACAAGAACAGAAAATGAAATACCGCATGTTCTCACTCGTAGGCGGGTGATGAACAATGAGAACACATGGACACAGGGAGGGGAGTACTACACACTGGGGTCTATTGGGGGGAATAGGTGAGGGACAGCGGAGGGGGGAGTTGGGGAGAGATAGCATGGGGAGAAATGCCAGATACGGGTGAAGGGGAGGAAGGCAGCAAATCACACTGCCACATGTGTACCTATGCAACTATCTTGCATGTTCTTCACATGTACCCCAAAACCTAAAATGCAATTTTAAAAAAAGGCATTAAAAAAAAAAAAAAAAAAGACTGCAAGGCTGCAACAATTGGGATTTCCTAAAGTGATACCAGAAATTTACAATTCTTAAGTGATCACTTACAAGTCTTTTGTTGCTGTTACTTTTGTTTTTTAAAGAAACTGGGTCTGTCAGGTGTGGTGGCTTATGTCTGTAATCCCAGCACTTTAGGAGGCTGAGGCAGGTAGATCACTTGAAGTCAGGAGTTTGAGACCAGCCTGCCCAATGTGGTGGAACCATGCCTCTCCCAAAACTACAAAAAAATTAGCCAGGCATGGTGGCATACGCCTATAATCCTAGATACTTGGGAGGCTGAGGTGGGAGAATCACTTGAACCCAGGAGGCAGAGGTTGCAGTAAGCCAAGATTATGCCACTGCACTCCAGCCTGGGTAACACAACAAGACTCTGTTTCAAAAAATATAAAAATAAAGAGACTGGGGCTCGCTCTGTAACCCAGGCTGGAGTACAGTGGCATGGTCATAGCTCATTACAGCCTTGAACTCCTGGACTCAGGCAATCCTCTTGCCTCAATTTCCTGAGTAGGTGGGACTACAGATATGCACCACTGTGCCAACTTAATTTTTGTAATTTTTTTTTTGTTGATACTGGGGTCTTACTATGCTACTCAGACTAGTCTCCAACTCCTGGCCTCAAGCAGTCCTCTTGTTTCAGCCTCCCACAGTGCTAGTACTACAGATGTGAGCTATGATGGCTGGCCAGTAACTCTCTATCTACAATTTGCAATTCATTTTGCAGAACACAATTAAAGCCTTTGCTAAAATACTTAGGTATTTGACACAGTAATTTAAATATGACCAGGATCTGAATATTACCAAAATGCCCAGGCAGTAACTTTATATTTGTTATTTGCAGTCATATGAAGTACAGACATCACCTACCATAAAAAAACTAAAAACAAAATGATAAAACTAGTGAAATTAAATTTTAAAATACCCAGCCTGTCCAATAAATTTATAAACATTTTGTTCAACATTTAGATACTTTTTACATGACTAAAAATGTGATTCAAAATAGCATTTTAGTTTAACTAACTAAATATATTCAAAGTAATGAAGATATTTCCATCTAAAATAACCTGATGACCTGCTATCTTGGTATGAAAAAGACTATGCCCTATTACAGGTTAATGTGAATCTTAGCCAAGTAAAGTTGGTCAAAATCAAATTAACTAAATGCTAGTTAGAATCACAAACTATTAACCCTCTGAGATTTAGTTATCAGACTTGCCCCAGGTTATGTAAGTGAAATGACAGAGTTGAGAGAGAGAAATCCAGGCCTCCAGATTGCTGGCCCAGCCCAAGGGCTCCATGAGTCCATGGTGACATTCTCAAGAGAAACAGCAAAATGCAAATACACAAAGTCAGAATTAAGAAAGAGCTCCAACTGCTCAGCCAATGATATCCCCAGGACAAGCTCTGATACTGAGCAGATACACAGCACAGTGGCTAGTACTAGTTGCTAAAATACTGAAACACTTCCATACCAATCGCAAAATAAACGCTGGTCCATCCATTCCAACCACTCTAGCTGCCCTGGCCCCTCTCTAGGGATCTTGCCATGAGGTCCCTAGTAGTTTTTCAACTACACAGTTGATGCCTGGCACAGGAGCAGGCCTCCAGGTCTCCAGCCCTAGTGCCTGACTATTTTCTGAAGGCTGATGCCCATGCTGCACCAGTTGTTAATTCTTTTGATAATTACCCTTCACAAAACCGCAAGTCACGATCAGAGCCACTCATCAGAAAACTAATTTGCGTAAGAGTTCTCTATCTTCCAAATGTATGAACTTAATTAAAGCCACGTTTTTCTTAAAAAAAAAAAAAAAACCTAGCCTACAGTTACTTCTTTTCCTTTCCCGTACCTGGCTGCCTGGTTGTATTATTCATTCATTCACTAAACAAATATTTACAGAGCCAAGCAACAGGCTGAACACTGGGATTCAGAACATGTGCCAGTTCCCTACCCCAGAAGTGCCTGCCCATGGTGCTGTACAGGAGCTCAGGTGAGGGGAAGCAGAAAAGTGGATTCTATAACTCCAACACACAGAGTAAGTGCCATGATGGAGGAGTGTGTAAAGTATTGTGAACAAGAGGAAGGGGGGACCTCACTACTAAGCAGGGTCAGGAAAGGCTCCACAGAGAAGGCAACATTAGGATGGCACCTGCAGAGATGTTCAGGAGTTAGCATGTAAACCAGGAAGGAAAAATCATTCCAGGCAAATGGTACTACATATGCAAAGGCACAGAGAGGTACAAACATGGTGTTTTCAGGTATCTATAAGAAATCCGCTAGGCCGGACGCGATGGCTCACGCCTATAATCCCAGCACTTTGGGAGGCCGAGGCGGGTGGATCACGAGGCCAAGAGATCGAGACCATCCTGGTCAACATGGTGAAACCCCGTCTCTACTAAAAATACAAAAAATTAGCTGGGCATGGTGGCGCTGCCTGTAATCCCAGCTACTCGGGAGGCTGAGGCAGGAGAATTGCCTTAACCCAGGAGGCGGAGGTTGTGGTGAGCCGAGATCATGCCATTGCACTCCAGCCTGGGTAACAAGAGCGAAACTCTGTCTCAAAAAAAAAAAAAAAAATACAAAAATTAGCTTGGCATGATGGTGCGCGCCTGTAGTCCCAGCTACTCGGGAGGCTGAGGCAGGAGAATTGCTTGAACCCAGAAGGCAGAGGTTAAGGTGAGCCGAGAACGTGCCACTGCACTCCAGTCTGGGTAACAACAGCGAAACTCCGTCTCAAAAGAAAAAAAAAAATTCTGCTATTTCTGGAGAAGAAAGAAAATGAGATTGGAAAGATGATTTAGGGCCAGATAAGGAAGAGCCTGCTGTGCCATTTTTTGTATGAATTTAAACAGGAAAATTTACGAAACACTTGTGATTACACAGTTCTTAAGAGGTAAGCCCTGATAGAGCAAATGAGGCTCCTGGCTTAACAAGCTGTGATTTCTTGGTTTGCTGCGCAGTGCAAATACTTACACTCAGCTGAAGGATATTAATCTGTAACATGGTAAGATAAGAACTTCTCCTCCTACCTGTTGTAGGCTCAATTATCAGCAAGAAGGCATTTGAGGATCTCTAGATCAAAGGAGCTATCAAATATGTTTCAGAAAATTATATTAATCCATTCACATATGAACGTCCCATTTCAGTCAAGCTTACCTTGGAGAAGATGGTTTTGCTGCCTGGTGACTGTTGAGATGAGCATTTTCCTGTTATTAAGCCTTCACTCCTGAGCTGGAGATCCTCTGCAGCCATTAAATAGCAGTTCTGCTGTATTACTTCCAAATCTTTTTCACTCAATTTCTAATGAAATGAAACAAATTATAAGGAAGTTGTCATCAAGAAAAAAATATTAAGAAACTGTCCCAAACTCCTTAAGGAAAACTATTTTACTTTTTCACAACGTCCCCTACATAATTGTAATCATTCCAAAATACTAGGCAATTACAAAACCGTCATGCAACTCCATTTCTATGTTATTACAACTTGGAAAATAGCAGCATGCCGGCAAGGCAGAGCTAAGGATGGTGGCAGTCACTACAAACTGTCCTCGCTCACCACCACTGTGACGACCTTCCAGTGGGTGTAGAGGACAAAGCCAGGCTCTCACCCGACAGACCTGGTTCCAAACCTGGGTCCATCCTGCTCAGGATGTGATCTGTTTCCAATCCTGTGGGCTTATGGGGATGATTATAAGACTTGTATATCAAAACCCAACAAAGTCTTAGTTTCTCTTGAAATGTTACAAACTTGACAAAACTTGAATTGTCCATATCGAAAAGGAGATCTGACTTCCAGGAAGAAAAAACCAAGACTGCAAATACTGCTGTAGGGTCTGGTCACATATGAAAGGGTTCTTCATGATCACACACAATACAATTCCACTGACTGAACCCTCAGAAGATCTAACATCCAACAATACAACAGGACCAGAGACCATATCTCTGGTCTTCTGCATGGAATCTATTCCTAACCACTTAAAATCCTGGTAACTCTTCAACTAGGATTCTGTCCACTCTCTGTCAAAAATAAAGTGTAGGAACCACATCTTATTCCTAAGCACCTAGCAGAATTAATTTATCCATTCAAACTTTTATAAGAAATTCAGTGAACACAAACAAAAAAAGTAGAAGCAATTCTTTATAAAAACCCACTGAACTGTAATAGAACTAGGAATTGAATAACCAATACTGACTTTCTAGAATTGTTACAATACAGTTGTGCTTATATTACACTATTCATTTTCATTTTTCTAAAGTCCAATTATAGATACATACAGTTTAACAGTCAAATAGTACTACAAGGCTTAAATGGAAAATTAGTATCCTCTCCCTCTCCTCTCCTCTCACCTCTTAAACCCCACTCTCAGAGAAAAACAACCTTTAACTCTAGCTATTTCTTCTGCTATATACCTCCATGTTTCTATATTACATTCTTATTCATATATTTCTTGGTTTCTTAAGTTTAGATTGTATCTACTGTCTCCTGCCATAGAATTTTGAGGATTCAGCTCTTACATGCTTTGTCCCTCAACCCTTGTCCTCATAATTATATCCCAATTTTAGTTAAATCAATAGTCTGCATTTACATTACAGCCAGCAAATACTGCTCGTGACTTAGCCATACGGTGTTCTGTGATCACACATCGAAAACTGACCATTTGCATTTTACTTTCGTGGAGAAATTCCAACTGAAGCCCTCCTCAAGAGCTCAAATCTTGGATTTCTACAAAAGCAGCTCAGCTTTCATCCCAGGACTTCCCTTCACCACATGCCAGGTGAATTCCCTACTTTCTGGAGCCTGTCTCTCTCTCTTTTGGTTATTCCCTCCCATTTGGTTATTCCTTTATACGTGTGGAATCATCCACCAAGAGCTTTCTGCAAAAGAGTACACAGGAGGCAGATGACTATAGGCACCAAATGTCGAAAATGCCTTTATTCTGCCCTCACACTTGCTGGCAGCTTGGCTGAGTACAGAATGCTGGATTGGAAATCACTTTTCCTCAAAATCTGAAAGCATTGCTCTTCCATCTTCTGGTTTCCAATGTTGCTGCTGAGAATTCTGATGTCATTCCAAAGGTGGGTTCTTTGTATGTGACCTGTATTTTCCTCTCTGTGGAAGCCTTTCAGGTCCTCTCTTTAGCCCTGTGTTCTGAAATTTCAAAATGACACACCATGGAGTATGGGTCTTTTTTCATTCTTTGTGCTAGAAACATAGCAGGCCCTTTCAATGTAGAAATAGCTGTCCTTCCATTCTGGGGAATTTTCTCCTATTACTTTGAAAATTTCCTTCCCTCTGTTTTGCCTGTTCTGTCTTTCTGGAACTCATTAGTCATATTTTGGACCTCTTGTATCAAGCCTCTGGTTTTCTTATCTTTTCTCTGCCATTTTCTCATCTATTTGTTTAGTTCTATTTTCTGGAAGACTTACTCAACTCTATCTTCCAACTTTTCTAACTCTTAAACTTTTTTATATCTGCAATCATACTTTCAATTACCAATAGGTCATTCTTCTTTTCCAAATATCTTTTTTGTCAGAGCCTTCTCTAAAGATGCTACCGCCCTGAATTTTTGCATTTTTAAAGCTGTCTTGTTTTCTCCTCCTTGCATGTTTCTATTTCCTTTACCTCACTCTATTCTGTTTGGTCTTTGTCTTTCCTCCTTTTTTTTTCATTTTTTGATGTAGTTTCACTCTTGTTGCCCAGGCTGGAGTGCAATGGCCAATGGCATGATCTCCGCTCACCGCAACCTCGCCCTCCTGGGTTTAAGTGGTTCTCCTGCCTCAGCCCCTGAGTAGCTGCTATTACAGGCATGTACTACCATGCTCAGCTAATTTGGTACTTTAGTAGAGATGGGGTTTCTCCATGTTGATCAGGCTGGCCTCAAACTTCCAACCTCAGGTGATCTGCCCACCTTGGCCTTCCAAAGTGCTAGAATTACAGGCATGAGCCACTGCGGCCAGCCATCTTTCCTCTTAAATTCTTTTCTCCTATTTGATAAACTCAGGCCATCCATCTACATTTAGGGGTTAAAAGTGCTCAGCAGCAGCTCTGAGAGTGTGGAAAGGACCCATCAAAGGTGGCCTCACAGTGAGGTGGGCAGGTGGGGGCCCAGGTATTTTGCTGGAGGAGCCCCAACTGTCAGCATCTTTCAGTTGTTTCTTCCCTCCCAAGCATCTCATTGCTGGACATGCACACTTCCATTCTCTCCCTGTTTTCACTTAAGTGGTCACTCCTGCTTTTAGTTACATCTGGTGGCCCAACAGCCACAGCTTCCCTGGTTTAAGGTCTCCAGAGGTCTCCTGCTGGTAAGGAGTGGGCTGCCTACAACTGCTTAGAATTCCAGCCAATCTCCCGTTTTTAAAGGTACCAGGTATAGCCAATGCATGCTATGCCTTTCTGGGGTTCTGTAGCATAAACCGGCTTGCTTCTTGTTGGCTTTTTGTCCCAAAGGCATGTTGCTGCGTGGAGAAAGCCGAATCCTATGCCCCTAACACTCACCTATCCACTTAGCCAATTTTTTTTCCACCTCTTTTGTCTACAAGCCACATTTATCCAAAATTCTGTTGACAACTCACACTTGCTATTATACCTGCTTCCATTCTCCTAGTTAGTCCCTGTGGGTTTATATACCTTTTTATTCTTTCACTGTTGTTTTAATGAGGTTTCTGGAGGAAGCAGAATTAAATGCCTATGTTTATTCCATCATGGTTATCTGTAAGTCTGAGTGAACTCAAAAGTTCACATGATCAAACAAGAAGGGTACTCCTAAAGAAAAAGGAACAGTTAGAGGAAACGTACAGAGGAGTGAAAGGGCATGTTATAAATCAGCAACAGGAAGTATTTACAGTAGAAGAACCTCAGGGAAGTGCGTTGACGCCTAGGGCAAAACAAACCAGAGCCGGAATCCAAGCTCTGCTATTTAATAGTCATATGACCCAGGATATGTTCTTCCCTTCTCCGAGTTCCCGTTTCACCACTTACTTCCATGGTGGCTAAAGCCCAAATGACATAACGAAAGCTCTAGAATGCTCTGAAACATAGCAATGATGACTATAATCGTAAATATTTCTGCAAAAGAATTGTTTTGGGAAAAAAAAAAAATCAACCCATACCAAATTTAAAAATCTAAATACAAAAGTGACAGTACCTGAAGCAGCAAGTCCTTTTGATTAGTACTTTCTGTTAGATGTTTGATCGCTTGCTCTTGACTGTGTAATTTTTTATTGCTTTCACTCAAAAGACTCTTGTAACGATCTTCCATTGCCTTCTCTCTTTCATTCACTTCATTGCGTAATTTTTCAACTTCATTTCTAAGGTCCTACCAGAAGAAAATTAAAAAATGGAATTTACTTGCCAAAAATTTTAATCTCTTATGTGTTTGACTTGCTAAATTACTGCTACAAGAGAGCAAGATAATAGATGTATTTAAGGGAGTGTACAAGTATATACTTCTCACTTACAAAGTCTTACAAAAACCACTGTAGGAATAATCTGCAATTTGGCAAAAGATTTATGCATATTTATCACAACATTATTTAAAATGCTAAAAAAACAGAAAGAAACTAGACAGTCAACAACAGAGAATTATAAAGAGTACAGTATTTTTAAAAACACACACACAATTATGAGTCAGAACAACCAGATTATCAAACTGTACAGATAACAAGAAGCTCATTATTTTCTAAATGTTTATACAAATGTCCTAAGGCTATGAGGTAACACATCAAAACAACAACAGTATCTCTAAGTAGAGGAATTATGGGTAATTTCCAGTTGATTTTTACTTATTTATTTTTCTAAGTTTCCGCAATTTCTAAGTAATCCTGTGTTATCTTCACAATCAGGAAAAAAACTGTCTTAATACCATTTACAAAGAATTCATAATGATACAAAAAAATGTTCATGTTATTTCCATGTTACAGAAAAAGACAAGAAAAAACCATATACAGAATGATTGTGACTATCCTTAAATATGTATTATTTGTAATACTGAAGCACTATTCATTAGAGCAAAAGGTTGTAAACAATCCAAAATGTCCACCAATAGAGGAATAAACTATGGTACATTCTCACAATGGAGCACTCCTAAGCTATAAAGGAAAAGGAATGAGGACTCTCTATAAATACACTGACCTAAAGTAGTCTTCTGAATATTTTGTTAAGTGTGTGTGGCAGCAGCAGAGACCCAGGAGAAATAAGTATGGATAGCATACTGCCATTTATTTAACCACAAAACAAATTAAATGACTGCCTATAAGGTACAAGAGAGAAAAAGGTAGAAGGGACAAGATAGAGAGTAGAACTCATTTTACAGATGTGATGTTGCAATCATTTAAATGTTTATACAATTATCTTAAAAATAAAATAAAAATCCCTTAAAACTGAATGAAGAGCAAACAAACAAATGAATCTAACTTTGTAACCAGTTGATTGGTTAACCAACCAGAGAGAAATTCTTTCAGTAACAATGAAACAGAATAATTTGTACATCCCTAGTGGGATATTTCGCTAAGTACAAAAGCAGTTGCAAAAAATCTTAAACTGTTTTTAGTAATCACGTTATAAGCAATGCTATCGGTAATGTTATTCCAAAACTATGTGAGTATATATAGCATATATATTTATTAAACAATTATTAATGTCATAAAAACCAAACTTTAAGTAGAAAAGAAATACAAACACAAAAGAAGTAAAAACTTGTCATTCTGTCATTCTCAATTTGAATTTGAAATATCAATTATCAATATGAACTTCTCTTTTCTGTTGTTTCCTTTCTTCCACTAAAAACAGCTAGAATTGATGTCCTCCCTGGTACCCAGACTACAGTCTCTAAATACATTTTCCTACAAAAAAGAACAGGGTTCTTTAAAGCAGTGGTTCCAAAACACAGTCCCTAGAACAGCATAATCAGTGTCACCTGCATATATGCAACTATATTGCTGGTTCTGAGGATGGAAAGATGACTCAGACCTGGAAATCAGGTAGGCTCTAGGAGCTGGGAAAGGCAAGGAACCAACTCTCCTCTAAAGCATTCAAGAGGAATGCAGCCCTGCAAACACCTTGAGCTTAGTCCAGTGTGACCCACTTCAAACTTCTGACTTCTAGAATTGTAAGATATAGATTCGTATTGTTAAGCCACCAAGTTTGTGCTAATTTGTTCCAGCAGCAATAGAACGCTAATACGATCATCTTTGGAAGCTTCTAGGGAACTTGTTTTGATTTTCCTGTATGAACCGCACCAGGGTCACTAAAAAAGTGATGAAAAACCAAGTTTCACTTTATAGACTATTCAGCTATAAAAGGAACAATGAAATTAAATTATCACCATTTGCAAATGATCAGTAGCTAGCAACATCACAAAAAGAGAGACTATCAAATATTTGAAAGTATAAAATGACCATTTATAATGTAATCTTGTCAAAAAATTTAACCTGAATTTGACCATGCATCTTATCTAAACTACCACTTTACTAGAAATAAGAGTCAACAGAGAAATAAGTCAAATGACATTACAGAGACAGTCAGCAAAATCCATAATGTGAAAAACTCTAAAGAACAAATGACTCAACATATTCAACAAATAAATTATATGGGGTAAAAACAGGAGGGAGAAGCTGCCTACTTATTAAACAGTAAGTAAAAAAGTTGGCCTGTAATCTCAGCACTTTGGGAGAGATTATGTGTGTCTGAATTCATGATCACACACACACACACACACACACACACAGAATTGAACAGATATAGAAATATAGATGTTTGTATGCATGTGTCAATACACATGCATATTTCAGCTCTGTACACTGACAAAGCCTAGAGGCAGTAACACTCCAGTAGTAATGAGAATACCTATCATTCACATCTTGGTTTCTAAATATCATTTTCCAATAAAAGAAACAAGTGTTTCTTCAGAAAATACTTAATTCCAGGCTTAGAGCAGGGAAAATATAATATGAGATGAGCCCAAGATATCTTGTGCTCCTAGAAAGCAAGAAACTGCTCAAAAACTGAAGGGTCATGTTGAAAAGGCACAGGAATCAATTTGAAGGTGCTCCCAATGGCCAAATCTGAGTCAATCTGAACAATAAAATAAATAATGAGAGTAATGGTTTATAACTTATAGAGTAAAACAATATCCACAAGTCCATACAACTCTATTAACAATTTATTAACAGAAGCAATAATGTTAATGTAAGTAACATGAAAATATTCTCCATTGCATAAGCTTATATTAGACCAGAATAATCCACTGAAATTTAACAGCAAAATAATAAATAAATGCAGGAGAAGGAAGAGGACAGCTCTTCCTCATAGTAGACTTACAACTAATAAGAATAGAAGGAAAGATAGAAAAAATTATGTAACAACTAGGCAAACACCACAATAATAACTGTTGAAGGTAAGAATCATCAATGGATGCTAGAAGTCTTGAAAATATGATGAAAAACAGGATATTCATATAGTCTCAAAAGATCTCCCCAAAAAATTAATTATAAACTGAATAAAATAGTGACTTTATGGTGAAGGAACCCAGAAGATTCCACTTTAACCAAATGACTAACACTAACCTCATCAATAATGAAAGATTGACATTATGTCCAAATACAAGACACTAAGAAGAGCACATCACTTCGATGCTATTCTTGCCAAAAACACAAAACCTCCATCTAATCATGAGGAAACATGAGACAAGCCCAAATTTAAGAACATTTTACAAAATAACTGACCAGTACCCTTCAAACCAGTCAAGGTCATAAAAGACAAAGTCTGAGCAACTGTTCCAGATTAGCCAAGACTAAGGAGACATGACAATTCAATGTGGATCCTTCGTGAGATCCTGAACCAGAAAAGGGTCACTCATGGTAAAACTGGCAGAATCCAAGTAGAGTCTGTAGATTAGTTAATAGTGTTGCATCAGTGTTAATTTCCTCATACTGATAAGTATACCACAGTGATGCAAAATGTTAACACTAGGGGATATATGGGAACTCTCTATATTGTTTTTGCACCTTTCCTGTATGTTTAAAATTATTTCAAAATAAAACGCCTTTTTTAAAAAAAAACGTATCTACGATGTGGTGACTCACGCCTGTAATACCAATACTTTGGAAGCCCAAGGCAGGAGGATTGCTTGAGCCCAGGAGTTTGACACTAGCCTAGGCAACATGGCAAGACCCCATCTCTAAAATAAATAAACAAACAAACAGCAATGTGTACGCCTTGTTTGGATCACGATTTGTCTTTTTTTAGAGACAAGGTCTTACTATGTTGTCCAAGTTGATCTCAAACTCCTGGGTTCAAGCAATCCTCTCATCTCAGCCTCCCAAAGTGCTGGGATTACAGGCATGAGCCACCACAACATTTCTGGAACCATGATTTAAACAAACTGTTTCAAACAATTGTTTTTAATGAGACAGTCAGGGAAATCTAAACATTTATTGGTTGTTTGGTAATCCTAAAAAGATTACTATGCTTTTTGATGTGAAAATGGTATTTTTTAAAGCATACTGGAATATTGATAAAACAATGTGTCTGGGAATTGCTTAAAGTAATTCAGTGTTGAAAAGGAAGGAATGAGAGGGAGAACGAGATGACATAAGATTAGCTCTGAGTTTATGATGGCTGATGCTGGGAGACAAACACATAGGGGTTCAATGTACTTTTCTCTCCTTTTGTGGGTATTTGAAATTTTCGATAATGAGCAAGGTTTTTTTAATTTAAGGTATATATTAGAAACCTACAAGAAGTACCAGAACACATGATTAAGGAGGATTTAATTGTTTTATTCTTTCCTCAAATTTAAAATATTTCACACTAAGCAGTGTCTACATTCATAATTGGTAAAGTAACATTTTTTAAAATGCTTTAAAAATTGTTAATTTTTTCTTGGGCAAAACGAAGATGAGATTGTCCTAAACCTTTACTTCAAACAGCTAGCCCAAGAACCTAGCATGAATTATAAATGTCAGTAAATAGAAATTCAATTCTGGAGAAGGAAAGGGGTTTTTGTATTATTTTACAAATGATACTAAAGCAACATTAACAGAATTCTAAAGCTAAAGAATAAAAACATTCCCCCAAAATACAGTCATGGCAATATATTAAACAATTCTCAAACAGTAGGTGCTCCTTTCAGTTCTTGGCCATCTGCAGCCCTAATTTTTATACAATTTTAAGTTTGGTTTGGACTTTACCCCATTTCACTTTACTCCATTATACTATGGCCTACAAAGAGCATACAGCAACTAAACAATGACATAAAAGAACACTTAAACAAAAAGAAAAGCTTAAGCGTATAAAGTCAAGAAGTGTTTGAAGTAC